TTCTTTCCTTTTAGCTGTTTTTAATAGTTTATGATCGGTATTAAAAAACTCTTCACTAACTTCATCTAAATTTATTGTTTGGTTCATAAATTCATATTTTCTTTTTAAATTAGTTTTAGACCGCTTTTTAAGACCGGAGCTTGGAACCGGTTCAACCGCTTTTTTTAACGGGAGCTTGGAACCCGACTGACTATTTTCTGCAGAGGTGTGTAAATCACCTGAACTTTGCTGACAAAAAATATTATCCGAATCAGAATTTCGGAACGATTGTTTAACACGCACCATATTTAAATTTAACAATTTTTAAATAATTTGCTTCTAAAATAAAAAGTATTAAAATATATTTATTAAAAAAATACTGGATTTTTTAAATAATATTTTTGCATATATTTTTTCACTGATTGACATTTTATTTCAAAATTTTTCAATTCTTTGTTTTCCTTTTTCAGTCATTTATTTTTTTCAAAATATTTACATCTTTTTTGTTTTCTTTTGTTCTTCAAGAGGAGTTAAAGGAAAAAATCTTTGTATTTCTCTTTTTACCCTTTGCGCTATATGACAGCCTAATTTTTTGTTTTCGTCAAACTGCAATGAAAAATTTGCGAAACTGACACTCTCTTACCCAATTTCCCAAAAACTGTAACTCTTTCCAAATATGTCCCCCAAAATCCTCTATAGTTGCGGGACTTTGCGAATAAGTGTCAATGAATTATGTATTTTCATGGCTGCGTAATTTTGGAAAAATTGCCTGCCTGCGATTAACTGGCAGACGGCTGGTTGGAATTTGTTTACAGTTTTAATTTCCCTAAGCAATTAGAGAAAAACAACTTTTTCTCTCTTATTTTTTACAAAGAAAATTTTTCGTGTCAAAACAAAATCTGTTTTTCTTTTTAAAAAACGGCAAAAAGCGTGACGGAAAGTGTGAAATTATATAGTTAATTTTCCCCTGAGTCAACATTAAAATTTTTGTTTATTTTTTTTATTTGTTAAGGCCAATGGCCGTGCCAGATTCGTGCAACTGACCAAATCGTGCATAAAAATATATTTAAAGACATTTCTAGGAAAGATAAGTTTTTTGAGGTAAAAAAGCAGAAAAGCGGTAAAATTGCGTGAGTTTAAGAAAATAAAGCAAAAAAAGCTTTTTAATTATAAAATTAGTAAAGCTAATACTTGACTTGAGGTTTTTAATTACTTGTGAAATATAATGGAATAATTAATTGGAATAATAATTTAACCAAATTTTTTATTTTCTCAGTGTTATTGAAGTTTAATTGGATTGAAATTTTTATCAAAACTCCTTTTTTAGAAACCAGGTTGCCGGTTTGGTTTCGGCTTTCCGAAATCTGTCCCCATTAAGGACTAACATTTATTTAAGTCATTTTTTATAAGGATTGAGTTATATTTGTTTTTATTAGGGACCAACGTCCATGTCCCGAGAGAACAACCACAGACCTTTAATGTCGAACCTTAATTTTTACACAAAAAAGTTGAGGTCTGTGGCATCAATTAAAAGTTATTCAATATAAATTAAGGTAAAGAAACGCAAGTCAATTATTATCAAAAAAAAGTTTAAAAATGTTAAAAAAGCAAAATTACTATATTTTTAAAAAATTTTAGTAAAAAGACAAGAATTCTAAAGAAATAAAAAATGGAACGGAAAGAATTTTAAAGACTAAAAGGAAGTAAAAACTATTAAAAAGTAAAAAGCAATTAAAAAATAAAAAACAGAAAATATTATTTTTTTTTTCAATTAAAAAATTTAATTTTTAAAGATTTATTTATTAAAAACAAAAAAATTAAAAAAATTATCCAACTTACCAAAAGTAAAATGTTCCGACTTAGTTTTTTGGCGAGTCCATGAATGAGGCCGTTTTCTAGTTGTTGTAGTTGAAGTTATTGTTGAGGTAGAGGGACTTGAAAATGATTTAGATGTGTATACAGATGTTGGCTTAGTTGGTGGAGATGTTTGGAATGTTGGTGGAATTGTTGGAGATGTAGTTGTAATAGTACTAGTACTTCTTTGTGCTTCCCAATTGAGCGATTTTGAGATGATTGGAGTGAAGAAGCCTTTTTTAAATAAAAAATGTAATTAAATCATTAAAAAATGTTTAAATTAAATTATTAAGACAATTACTTTATTTTCATATTTTAAATAGAGTTAAAATTTTCAAATTTCCGGCATGGTTCCGATCGTTTTTCAACGAGCAACCGCAAAAACAAGGGAAACAAGCATTTTATAAACAATTGATATTTCCCCCATTCCAATATATAATAGAACACCAACTCCATGATGGCAAGTTGCAAGTCTGGCTCTTGCTTGCAATTTAAAAATAGCTTCGCTATCATGACCATTTTCTTTTTCATTTTTACAATTAATAAGATTAGCAAATGGAATTAAAAATAAAATTAAACAGAATTTTGAAGTAGCCATTTTTAATTATTTTATTCTAAATTATATTTTTATTATAAAATAATTTCAGAAACTATACCGATCATATTTATATTTTTAAAAGTATTCAAGCGTTTGAACATTTTTAAAACTATCATTTTTTGAAATGAATACATTGCCCTCTTGTAAGTAACTTTACGCCTTTCCTTACGTTTTGTTAGGGTATCATGAGTGTATTATTATTATTAGGACTGGCTATTAAATGGAATCATTATATTTCCTTTAATTCCCAGCCTTAATTATAATTAAGAACCACTTAGTTTCACCTCTCCATTCTTATGCTTATAGTATTAGTGTCAGTGGCTCAATTAAAGATGTGGTTTTACAAATTAGAATAAATAAATAAGTACTACAATAAATAAATAAATTTTGCCGTCTTAAAATATTATATATTCTATACACGTTTCCTAATCTTATAAAGCATTCTTAGAAAATTTTTCTTTTCTAATTTTGGGTTTAAAAAATAATTTACAGCTATATTTAGTAAAAATAGTTTAGAAAATTTTAATTATTTTAAATTTTAAATAAATTTTTATTAATTTAAAAATTTATTTAACGTCAATGAATTTAAATAAATGTTTCTTTCTCTAGTTTTTATTTGAACAGCATAAAACCCATGCTTTACAAACCCATGCTTTAAGGTAAAATTCTATAGCTAAGTACGGAGATTGATTTTGATGGAAAAATTTTAAGTAATAAAAAAGTGTTGGCAATATTCTAACAACTTTTTTTAAATTTTTATTTTAAAAATTATTTTATTGATTAAAGTTAATATGTATCGAGAAATGTGATAAAATTTTAGAGCAATTATTTGGGAAAAATTTTAAAAAATAAATTGATAAATTTTACAAAGTAAATTGACAATCTTTATAATTTAAGAATATTGTTTATTATTAAGTTTCTTACAAAGCATTTACAAAAATTATATTTAAGCCCCTTACCAAGAATTTGAAATCAAATAATTTGAGAAACTCGATTAAGGTTTTGAAATTTTTAGACCAAATCTCTATTAAATCGAGCTCAATTTATGAAGTTTGGATAAATAAGAGTAATATTAATTATTAATGATTTAGAATTTAATAATAAAATTTTAAATAATTTTAAGATTATTCTAAAGCTAAACATTCATAATTATTAAATATAAATTTGATGATCTAATATGCAGGATAATTTTAAATTTCTAGAATTATTCGTTACTGGGCTGTCGGTTTCAATTTCACTAAATTTTTTGCATATTTTGAATTCCTCATAAAAGACAATAAAAGATTCATTCAATCACCCGTTTTTGTTCAGAGCAAAAGTTAGCCGGTTCTACTCCCTCATATTTCATAAATAAATGGTTAAATAAATAACTAAAAAGAGAGATTTCGATTAACGGATTCTGAGCACTCCAGAAGTGTGTGATGGCTTGGAACCAATGCCAACTATCTCCTCAAAAGGCAATAAGATATGATATTAAATAATAACTAGAGATCAAAACAAAATTTTCGGTTTAGTTTGACCGGCAACCCTATATTTAGTAATAAATTAATGCATTGCCTTCATATGTACATAATTATATAAATTTTTTTCATTACAAAAATAAATTCATAATCCTAAATTTTATTTGTATAATACAATTGAATTATCTACAGTATTATTTTTAAATAATTTTGTTTTGATTATCCCAAATTCCTTCTTATAAGCAGTATTGTAATCAGTACTAAAATATTTAATATTCAAAATTATAAAATTTCAACGAAAGGAAGTCCATGAAAACGTTGGTTAAAATTATTAAAGTCATTTATCTACAGTGAAATCCCCTCTATAAGTTTAAATTCGAAATTTGTGTACCTATTAAAGTAAAGAATTGGTGCATTTAAAGCAGCAGATGCGTTTAGAATAACTGCCAAATAACCACTTAAATACCATATCATTTCCGGAGAGATAGATAAAAATGCCATAATTGACCCAAATATGACATTAAAGATAAAATATCCTCCGATATTTACAAAAACTATCAGGGAAAGTGAACGAAATAGTTTACGTAGCTTTTCGTTTGCCAAATCTAAAAATTAAAATATAAACATATTAAATGTGCTGTCATTCACAATTAGAAATTCACACGATTTTTTGCCTTTTTATGTTATTGATGTCCGAAAAATTTTTCAGAAACTCCGATAAAAGTTAAGTTTTTTCATTTTTTATCTTTTCAAATTTCTAAACAATCAAAAATATATCTATATTACTATTGAGAAACTTTTGGATATCTAGGTTTTTAGGCAATGTTGCCTGCGCAAACTACATTGAGAAGCCTATGCCAAATTACCTAAGCTTAACTTTTACCTAAACATCTTTCAGCTTTGAAAATATTATTACATAAAGAAATTTCAACACAGAATATTGGAAAAATATTTAAATTTTATGAAAAATTTTTTTTCCAATTTTCAATTCGTTTTCAAATTTTCTGATTATAGATTCACTAAATCATCATTAATAAAGTCAAACCTCCTTTATATTTTACCAAAAATCCGACAATTATATGAAGCAAAATTGAAGCTAGCAAAAGAGGTACATAAATTAATCGAGTATCAATAATTGATGTTATTCCAAAAATATCGGCAAGATTGCCGGTTACTGGAAAGTCTGGATGTGCTCCAATTTGCGACAATATTTGATAAAAAATAAATACGGAAAGAGTAAAAATCGGCAATGTGTGTAGGAATATGTAGAAACGGAAATTGATATTGGAATAACTACAAAGCGTAAAATGTTTTAGATTAATTTTCAGTATACCATATTTTTCATTAAAAAGAGTGTCATGCCGCTCAATTATTAAACTTCCTCCCAAAAGGCCATTCAATTGGTTAGAGACTCTCTCAAATAGAAAAATACAGTAGAATACATTTTTGTCAAGATTAGAAGACTCTAAACTTCACAAAAATTCTAGATTAATCGAGGCCTGTGAATCACCTTGTATGTTTAAATATTATCTTCTCACCTAACCAATATTCCTCCTAATTGAATATTTAAAAATCGTTATCAATTTAATTAACAAAAATTTTTTAATAATCAATATCATAAAAATAAATCAACTAGTTCTCAATCTATTGAATGTCACCCCGAATGAAGCATTTGTCTCAGATTTCTAGGCTAGAGTTTGAAGCATTATTACTCGGGTTAATTATATTATAAGTATTTATTTCCTTTTAAAAACATACAAAATTGGAAATGAAACTGCGATAACTCTATCAACGCTCATAGTTAAAAACATTATGTTAACAATATTAGCACAAACAACAGAATGACCCTGAATTTTAATCGCCAAAAAGACTGGTATAAAATTTATTCCAGTCAATGTAATAAAAAAGAAGACAAAATGTCCACTTTGGTGACCAATTTCCAAAAATGAGTTAATTGCTAATAAAATACTCGTTTTGGACTTGAATGTTGTATATTTGCCCCTAAATTTATTCATTTAAAAATATTTTATATTAATATAGTAGATAAAATATGTATCAAATACTAATAAAAACAGCCAAAAGTTTAGATTTTTGGCTTATAAGTACGTTGCTAGTAAAATTTATGAGTCCAAATATACTGATAGATACAAGTATGACCAAAAAATTATTGACTTGTACGAGTAAGAGCATATCTGTAATTTTAAAGACTGGGCCTAAACTGCGTTGAATTTAGAAAATTTCTTGTATCGTATATGTCTAATCTATTTCTCGTACTCGTACACAGGTACGAGTACGAATTTTGGTACGAGCTTCCAATCATGGACCTAACCCCATCGGTGTTTTTCATTGTAGGGTTTTCAAATTTCCACATTATATAGCAGACCACACCATCATAAAACTAGTTATACAGGGTGTTTCAGCTGAAAAGCGCTATTTGAAAAATCCATAACTTTTTACACCGTGGACAGATTTGAATGAAATTTGGTATTTTTTATCTATATTTTATGGCAATTTTTTTGACATAAAAATTATGTCTAAATTCGAACCCTAACCCTGTATTTCAATTTCGTACTCTACCGTTCTCTTTTTTCCCTCTTTTCATTGTGTGATATCTTACTTCATTTATTTTCCTGCGTATGACAAAGAGTAGATACTGTATTGCATTTGTAGTGTCTATCGCCTAGTGTTTACTCTAGTGTCTATCGCCCGCTCGTAACTAACAAAAGGGAGTAAGAATGCATGTGCGGAAAAAGGGAAAAACAGAACGGTAGAGTACGAAATTATCTCGGGTTAGGGTTCGAATTTAGACATAATTTTTATGTCAAAAAAAATGCTATAAAATATAGATATAAAATACAAAATATCTATAAAATCTGTCGACTTAGTAAAAAATTATTGAGTTTTCAAATAGTATTTCTTAGTTGAAACACCCTGTATTTTGTTCAAAATTTATTTCTATGACTAGTGCGTGATACCATGGCTCCCATACAAAATACCGATTCTTAAAATATGGAATCTCAAAATATCGAATCGGCCAAAAAAGCTCAAAATATCGACAAATATCGACAATGCGGCAAAGGCCAGTTGAGTCTGAACACTTTTACGAACCTGCGGAAAAAATCTTAAAAATAAGAGAAAAAATTTTTCTATGGTAAAAAAATGTGCTGATCACGAAGCTGAGCTCGGATTTTGAAAAACTCGAACCCCGGACCCGGACCGAATTTGAATCCAAAACTGAATCTCAATTTTTCGAATGATAGCTCATATGAAAGAGCTCATCGAGTTGCATCGATGACAGCAAAATCAATGAAATTCGACCTGATTGGACTGAGATACAGACCCCTGAATAATCAAAACAAGACCTGCACTCAATTGGCGGCACTCAAACGGCCCTTTTTGTTTTTAAAAAATGTCGACATTTTTAGCTACTTTTTAGCCGATTCAGTATTTTTTTCAGCTGTAATAAAATTAAAAAAATACAAAATTAATTAATGTTATTCCTTTTTTAATATGTATTTCTTTCTTTAAAAATATTTATTTTAATGTTAAGTTTTTATTTCTACAAAATTTCAGCATTTAATTTACTGCAAGTCCTAACGAAAATAGTTTTAGTGAGAAAATAAAAAAGAAATAAATTTTTATTTAATTTGCTTGTTAAAACAATTTAATTTAGGTATTTGTTATTTTGTGTTCTCCGAACAAATTAATGGTGTAATTGAAGTAAAATAAATTGAAATTAACAAATTGTTTTTTAAGAAATAAACATTTTATTACTTTATTTTTAAAGTTTGCTATTTTTCTGGATTGATTATGTCTCAATTTTAAATTAATATTATTATATTTTATTAAATTATAACCTTATATTTCTTTTAAAATATATCGCAATTCCAAAATTTTAAAAGGTCGACTTGTTGGGATCCGGAGTTTTTATTCCAATAAATCCCATTTAATTCCTAAGCTTTTCTGTCTTCTAATATTGAATATGTAAAGTTTGGTAGCAGTATGTCACAGGTTGAGGTAAAATTTGTATTGGAATAGAGTCGAAAATATCTGAGTTTCATGTACGGCCTCCAGTAACAATGACACTCTTGGCAAATATAATTTGTTTTATTTATGATTTAAATTACTTGCAAATTCCTTAATTTCTGTAAATAATGTTTAAAATTACTTAACTAAACATCGCTTTTAAACATTTTTAGTTTGTATTTACTTTAAATTTTTCGCAAAATAAATTCTTAAATTATATATTTTCGGTAAATTTGTAATAACCTAATTATTTCTTTGCTTTATTTTTTGCAGTTTTTTCGAAAAAAATTTTTTCATTTAAATAAATAATGCTAATACAGTGGTGGTCATATGTTTATGGACAACCACGATTTATCAATAAAATCCCTAATAACAAAACTAAATAAGAATCAACCGAAAATAAAAAATGACAGTTCAAATACTCAGTTCATTTGCTATAAAATAGCTTAGTTTTATTAAAATCCACCTTCATTATCATAAATAAAATCCGGTTCAAATCTCTTCACCTCTATTTTTAACGCGTCATATGTTTATGGACAAATGATTTTCCATCTAAAACTTTGTAGATTAATGCCAAAAAATGAGATTATTGCTACTCCGTGGACATTTTCATTGATATTGAGTAGAAAATAAAAAGACCGGAGTCTACAACTTCTTTTTTCATCGAGATCTCAAATCTCGAAAATCAACGGGAAATTGGGGTACAGTACTTTAAATAATATTTTAACCCTCTAGAGCTTTTATAAAAAATTTTCTTTTGAGCTCATTTGAAAGCCCATTAAATTTGCTACAAGTTAGTACAGGTCGCATTTATTCCAAAAAATAATTGTTCGAAATACATCCATTTTCACAGAAAAATGGTCAAAAATCACCTAAAATACCCCAAAAATGATAACCTAAGAAATATTCCTGCCTCCATCTTCACGAGTTTTTGTTGGAAGAATAAAAGCCTAGGCTATCTTGTAGCAAATTTTATGGGCTTTTTAATGGGCCCAAAAGAAAATTTTTTTATAGCTCTAGGGGGTTAAAATATTTTTTTAAGTACTGTACCCCCATTTCCTGTTGATTTTTGAGATTCTAGATCTCGATGAAGAAAGTAGGTACAGACTTCATTCTTTTTACTTTTCTATTCAGTAACGTTGGAAATGTTCACAGAAATTTTTGTATAATTTTTGCACCAACTAAAGGAGAGAAATCCAAGGTTATTTAATTTGTCCATAAACATATGACGCGTTAAAAATAGGGGTGGAGAGATTTGGACCGGGTTTTAATTATGCTAATGAAGGTGAATTTAAATGAAACTGAGGTATTATATAGCAAATGAACTGGGCATTTGTACCACCGAATTATATTTTTGATTTATTCTTATTAAGTTTTGTTATGAGGGATTTTATTGATAAATCGTTGTTGTCCATAAACATATGACCACCACTGTATTATAAAATTAAATATTTAAAATAATCATTAATTAATGATTGGTGTATTTTACATTTTTAAATTATTATTAATTAATTTTCTTTTAATATTTTTATTTTCAATAATTTTAATCGTTCAAGCAACAATTTCAAAAGATTTTTCTAACTTTTTAATCAAAGAATATGGAGAGGAAGTAGAAAAGTTAATTGCTATAAGAGATTTGGGTTTTAGTGGAAGTTTTGGGGGTGGACAAGAAAATGAAGGAAATGGGTGAATTTTATTATTGTAAATTTCTAAAATCAACTTTAAAAATCACACATACATACGTATAAACCTAAAGTCATAATAAGCAAAATTTTGATTCTTAAGTGAAATTTGGGAGCATAAATGTTATTAATTGTTCGGATAGCTTGGAATGATTAGTTTGAATATTCCATTGTTCCAATAATTGCATTGGAAATATAAACATATAAAACTTGAAATGCTTAGGAATCATATAAGCCTGGCAAATAAATAAACAAAAAACTAACAGTCCTTGTGGGGATGGTGAGTGTTTATTAGCTTCACATACAAGAGCTATCACGATAATTTCTAATCCAATCTAAGCTATTTTATATGAAAGGTTTGAATACTTTTCTATAATTAGAATAGTTTAAAAAATTCTATCAAAAAAATTAAATTATAGACGTATACTAACAAAAAGACGGCCAATAATCTTCGTTCATGGATTGACAAACGTTGCGGGAACATACGAATATATTCGACGTTATTTCCTCACAAAAGGATATAATAAT